TTAGTAAAAAAAAAAATATCAGTAAATACAATTTATGAATATTGAGTAGGTATACTATCACGTAGATATGTCAAGATTATTCTAAAGGTATCATAAAACAAACTTGTTATAAAAAATTATTGTATTTAAAAAAAAAAATGTTCATCAATACACTATTTGTATATCACTCAATTACAAAAATTATTTTTATAATAAATATTTTTAAAAATGTATCTTCCCTTTTAATAAATCGGTACGGCCGTACGTGTTTGGTACATAATATTATATAGACAATCGTCTTGGTATATCAACTATTAAACTCAATTATGATCGATTAATATGCCACATACTAAACGAATACCTACCTATTTATTTCACTTTACCTCTTAGATAAAATTTTGTACATTTTTTCTTTCTTTCAAGACGTTAATGATCGCAGTGTGCTGTTGCTGCGGATTGCCGAATATCACACGTCCGTACAACATTTTGGTGTTTTTACCAACCGAGACCAAAAGCCATTTTATCGGGTTCAAACCTTTGCTAGAGACGTTAGTGACCAGAGGACACAACGTGACACTAGTCTCACCATTCGGGCTTGGTTCTGGTGGGACGCCATTGCCGAAATACACTCACGTCAAAGTGGAAATCACCGAGAATGTAGCAGGTAGTTGTATTTAAATATTTTTTATGTACTTATAATATATAGTTAAATATATATACAGTGTGTGTTCACGCTAAGAAGTACCACTAAATATTTCAGTTCGATTGCATTGTATTGAAATGGGGTTTTCGCTGAATGGTATAGATACTATTTAAAAATTTAAATTTAAATTTAAATACACATGTTTAGATAAATTTCAAATGTTTAACACTTTCTATACGCGCATGCGCGATTCAACTTACTTTTTTTAAATGGTAGGTAACACAAACTTTTTTGACATATTCAGATAGAGAATTTTTTTCTAAAGGATTTCTAATTACAAAATTTGCATATGAAATTCAATATTTACGAGTAATTCGTTTTTGACGTAGGTTTAATTCAATTTAATTAGATATTTTATTTTAGAAGAATGGATGAAAAAAATTATAGCAAATTATGATAAAATAGTGTTTATTTATATCTTATTTGTGTGCAAACAGATATTTTACAATATTAGATACTAATAAGTAACAATAACTTGAATTTAGTTTAAATTTCGTCAAAAACAAATTACTCGTAAATATTACATTTCATCGTGAAATTTCATATGCCAATTTTGAAATTAGAAAAAAACATTTAAATATAAATCATTTAGAAAGAAATACTCTATCCGAGTATGTAAAAAAAGTTGGTGTTACCATTTAAAAAAGTAAGTTGTATCGCGCATCTGCGTATCGAAAGTGTTAAACATTTGAAATTTATCTAAAAATTGTATTTAAGTACTATCTGCCATTCAGCGAAAACCCCATTTCAATACAAGGTAATCGAACTGAAATATTTAGTAGTACTTCTTAGCGTGAACACACTGAACAYACTGTATATAAAACTTTGATATATTTATACCTAATTCAGTTAACAAATATTCAATTATCTTGTATTTGTCATCCAGAAGGTATTGTAAATTATAATAATAWTAGCTGTAAAACCCRACTGGGAAAAAAGATATAAATATAGAACTACATAGTTTATAGTWTACAGCCATGTAGATGCATCTTGGATTTTATGTAGCTCAGTTCAAGTGCGAATTGGCGTTAGTATGTGTAATTACTTAGATTAAATATTTCGACTTAGTGGGCAACCACGAGTTGCGAATTGGATTTATCACTTACTATATTTTTTTAACGAGTTTTAAATTACTCTTTTGTGATGTGATATTTCTAAATACAATCTCTGAGATTGTTGTAAAATCAATCGAATAGTCTGTTATTGAGTTGATAGGGTAAAATCATACATTTGGTTTAGTTTGTAATCGAGTCCATGTATAATGTATAAACATGATAACTATATGAATGTTTTTTAATCAGTGTCGTCCTGTCCTGATTAGTTAAGGCTCAGAACAGAGTAAAATTGTGGGGCCTAAAATATTACTAACGACAGTTGCCCCTTTATAAATATTAAATAGGTAAGTGTGAAAATACACATAAAAATATAGTATACCCTGTATTTCCAGCAGTAAATAATAATATAATTTATGGAAGAGTAAATTAATTAATAACATATAATCATGTCTAATAGATACTTAGACTTAATATAGCCATATAGGTAATAATATTGATAAAATAATTCAATAAATATAGTATAACACAATATAAAAATGTATTTTTTACCTTCCTATTGACTATTATTTAATTTAGAAAATATGTCAATAATTTCGTTTTATTTTGGATGGTTAGCAATATTTTTTCCTGTAGACATATTTTTTCTATACAACTATTTTACATATTAAAGTTAAGTTGATGACTTTTTCAAGTGKCAGATTGCTTTGAAGAACATTTTTACTTTCTTTTTATCAATAATTTCAGCTTTGATAATTTTAAATTATTAATTTGAAAATTATAATTTTACATTTTAGTCGCTACCTTAATTATAATAATTTTTCACTAATCTACAACCCGATACCTATTTAGGGGAGGTTAAAATACAGTGTATTTAATCAAAAAAAATGACCGCTGGAAAAACTTTCACCTCATTGGTATGTAAAATTTTTATATTTTAATTTTAATTTGAAAAGTGAGAACATTTTTAGGTAGGAACAAAGCATGAATTACTTTTTTACTTTAAATAGAGCTAGAAATATAGGTACTTTGGAAAATAAAAAATATTGTGCATAATTATTTAGCTTCTATAATTATAATTTTCATAATCAGACTTTAATCCGATCTGTGAAAAGTTATCTCATTTTACTATTTTAGATAATAAAAAATTAACGGAATTCTATTATTTTACAAACTTAGCACGTGAGAGGTTTTCTATAAAATTTGTTTTAATATCACAAATGAACARTCCTCTACGCCTATATAATCATTGATTCGTATAAAATTCGATACTTTTATTTGACGTTAACTAATATAGGTAGTCAGAAAAAATTGCAACAGTATAATGCATAAAAGAAATGTTTTATAAATATTTTTTCCGGTGTTCGTCAATTGCGCCGAATTTCGGGTACTGCCTGTATAGTATATACATATATTGTGCCGGTATAAAAAAAGTTATATTAAACAGGTATACGTACCTACATCAATTAGGGCATTAGGCTGGAGAATTTTAACGATCAATGACAAACCGTTTTAGTTAATTATAATTTTTATAATTTTAGTTTATTTATAAATATGGTATAAATAATTAATGTAGTTAAAATTTATCTTTTAATTTACAATTCGTTAATAGTTTAATACGCAATTTGAAATTTCTTGAATTTAGAGTATTTTGATTTCAAAATTTAGTGTCAATATTTACTTTTCTAAAAATATTAAACTACCTATATCCTAGCTATAATAAAAAAAGTATTATAGACGTTAATGTATAATCAAGCTTCAAGCCAGTTTGGAGGAGTTCAATAACAAATACTGTGATCGGAGAATTTTATATATAAGAATAATGAAATGATGATGAATAATATTATAATTATGAAGAGTTTATCGTTAACCAATAGTTATACAGAATGGTAATCAATAATCATTATACTGTAGTCAATAGTCATTCATAACTGTATTATGTATACACTTCAATAAAAATAATCTAAAAATACGTCAGAACCACAGATATATAAAACAACTAGATAGCCGACTCTGTGTCTCATAAGACCTATAAAGCCTGACAGCCATATGCGAACAGGGCAAAATACGATTGATTAATCCATGAAATATTTAATTACTCCATGATTTTTTAAAAACAATGTGCGAAAATTCAAAAAAAAATTCTGAATCAGTCCGATTAAGAGGACGTTCCAGTCGTTGCACGGATATTTGTTTTTTCCGTTTTACAAGTGTGTACATCACAAATTTTACGATCAGCCGATCACGTTTATCACCGTTCGTTAAAAAATTTGAGTGAATTAACTTCTTGTACAATTTAAAGCTATGATTATTCTCTAGGGTATCTTTTAGGCTTTTTATTATATTTTAATTTTAAAGTGAGTAAACTTAATTTAACAAAAACTTGCTTTATAAACTTTAGTATCAATAAATATTATCATAAGCCTCATCAAAAAAACTGTAATGAATTTAATATAAATACTGTGATTGCTATGACTAATGACAGATGTAATTTCACTACTATATTTTATCCAGTCCAAAAATTAAAATATCTAGGCATTACTATAACTGATGCTAACCTGAAATGGCAAAATCATATTATTAATACAACTAGGAAGATCTGATTATTATTCTATAAATTTAAAACTCTTAGCAACATAGTTTCACCCACCACAATGAGAACTACTTGTAATTAATATAARTATAAATACTAAAATATTATAAAGCATAGGTATAATACACATAATCAACACAACAATAGTTAACAATGAGTAAGTATTTCTTCATTACACTTTTTTGAATACAATTATTTTATTGGTTGGAGAATAATATTAGTTTGGATAATTTATGTATCTTACTGACAGGATTCAAAATATCTGTTTAATACATTTTTCAAAATGATTTTAATCTAAGTCTCACAAATTTTTTAGTTATAAGTGTTATAAGAACTAGTTTATGGGGTCTTTCTAATWAARATGCATTATCRCAATTTAAATCTGAGAAAATTTTGTTGTCTAAAGAATACATGCAAATTATCTTAACACAAGATTAGAGGTATATGTAAAGATTTCAAATTATCAGTTAAAAAAAAAAACATTTTGTCAGCCTCTTGAATTATTTTGAAAACTGAAACGGATGCTGAAATTAATCYACCTTGATTTTTTAGATTTATAAATTTTGAAAAAGATACAGATTTGCAATACCTAGTCATGTTCATTATTTTATGATAAAAGAGCCATTTTACAAGAGTTGCATTCTAAAATCAATTTTCTTATTATATATCCAGCTATATAGTACAATATATTATTTTTAACATCCTGTTCATGGCTTCTTACTTGACTTGAATGTGTATGAATGTTCATAAGTTGCATATTTCTTTGGGCATCCATCTCAAATKCATTCATAATTGTTTCGTCGTTGTCAAGATTACAAATATTGTCTTTATTTGACGCCTTTCTCCATTTAATTTCAAAGAGTGATTTGATTGGATCATCATCGAATGTATTGCAGTTGAAATTGGATTTACATTTTAAAGAATTTTTCATTAATATTTGTTTGATAGCAGTCTTGAACTGTGAAGCATTTGGGTTATTGTTAGACCCAAAACGTTGACGAATACGTCCAAATAGTTCAATATGATCTTGGGAAAATTTGTAGGTCAAAATATAATTAATTTTTTGATTTTGAGAAAATATTTTTGATAGTGAAATTATAGACTTAACTGCAAAWGCAAAACCGAGAATATTTGTTTTTTTATTGGATAAAAATAAAGGTTAGTTTTTAATTTTTAAAGAATACAGATATTCAATTAATGGTACAATAATTTGTTCCAATTGATTAATATTGTTTCTAAAAATTGGAAATTTAAATTTTTTGAAAATTTACTTTTGGAATTAAAAAATCCTATCAATTGTACGACAGTATTTTATTGTTTMAGTTACATTTTCAAAGTTAGGAAATTTAGTTTCTTGTAAGTACTGTAAAGTRTCTGCCGTGGATAAGCTTAACGTCTGTACCGCATACTTGACTTTCATTTTATTATTTTGAAAGTTGATATGCATTGCCTAATTTTTTTGCAAGTTTCAATGTTAATTCTTTTTGAACCTTAAAGATATTTTTTATATGGTCCCATTTTACTAAGCCATCATCTGATTCGATTACATAATTGTTGGCCAATGTATTACGTGCCAATTTCAGTATATGACAAGCATCGGGAATGTAGTACACTCTTTATTTTGTTACAGGATGGTCAAACCAGCATTTAATGTCATCATAACTATTCCCTGCCAAACAGCCAAGTAATTTAAGCGTAGAAAAATTAATGTACGCACCATCGCATGTTAAACTGTGTACAGTTAATCCGGCGTTATAAGAGTGAGTCAATGCTGACTTAATTAGTTCTGCTTGGGTTACAGCAGTTAGTTTATTAATGAAAACATACCCTATAGGTAATTTCCAGCGACCATTTATGCTAACCAACATAAAAACTAAAGCTTCACTGGCTACCATATCAGTACCTTCAACTTCCATACTATTACCATGATCTGTATTTCCMATCATTTTTCCAAGGCGCTCATCCTATAAAATTTGTTTTCGAATAGACATTGCATCTAGCTTAAGGCAGCAGTCTTTATCATCAGAATTCAAAGTTTTGATTGCATCGAATACTTCCTTAAAAAATCCTGGTTCTCTATTAATGCTTTATGTCCAATTACTTATTGATTTTGAGCTAGGAAGTTTCATAAATATCCTAAAAGTAATATATGAAGTATTACAAACATGATATTAAATTAACATTTTTTATACTTATTACATAAAAAGCATGTGAAATAATAATGATATTTAATTTATTTGTTTTCTAATTATACAATATGTATATAAGCAAGCAGAAAAAGAACTTTGCAATTTTAAAATTATGATAGATGGTAACATGCATTTCAGGTCATTTTTATAAAGTCCCGCAAAGTGTAGGTTACAGCTAACCAACACTTTATAGAGAGTATTGTAAAAACACTAAAAACCAGCCTTAATATCATAATTTATTTTAAGCGACCCAAATTACCTGCAGTATTTAAGCGCTTTTGGAGAATAATAATTTAGCGTTATAGCAAACTCTTTAATTACTTTACTGTGGCGAAAACTAGTAGCTTTCCTACCTTTATTTAAAAGTTCATATGAAAATAATTCTTTGGATACTCCTTCAAATCTGTCAGTTAATAGTTGTTCAGATTGATTATCAATTAAACCTTTAGAGCTCATTGAAGCAAATAAACCAACAAGATTTTTTATTTTTTTGTCTTTCCGTCTAATTCCTTGTTGTAGTTTTTTAATAGTTTTTTTAAACTCCCAGTATTTGGAGAATCTATTTTGGCTACTTTTTAGTTTTTACATTTAGGYGATGGAGAAAATAATGGTCTTTTAACTTAAAATCTGGCTGAAGTTGTGAGTATATTTTCTGTATCTACTTTCTTTTTTTGTATAGGTGAGTATAGACTTTCACCTAAGACTTCAAACTCTGTTCCTGATATTGGGAATCTGGTAAAATTTGAATATTATCAATAAGCTCAGATTTATTTTCTTTATCTGATTTTTAATCATGGTCTTCAGCCACAAATATATCTGTKTTTTCAGCAGATGTCAAAACTTCTTCAATACTCATTCGAATGACTTTGCACTTAATATTTGGATCAGGAATCATAGATGGAATAGCCGTCTCCTTTAAGTACAATTTATAACTACCTCCTGGTTTTAAGTCATAGTCAGCTGTACAAAGTGTTCACTACAAATACAACTATTTTTAGTAGGGACAAACCCTTTCTGACGTATAGCAGTAATCCACAGTTGATTCCTTTCTRGATTTTTTAATTGAAATCTAAAAAGTGCCAACGATCTTATTAAAGTTTTTATATACCTAACTAATACGGAAAATAATTAATAATTAATTTACATAAGATATAACAATGTATAACGTACTAAAAATCTAGGAGGATCACAGATTTATAAAACAGTATTTTTATACACCTGTGGGTATGTTTTATGGCATTAATAATTTAAACTTGTAATTTATATCCACGATTAAAGAAGTAGCAATCATATCATCATACCATATTATCATGTTTCAATCATATTTAAATTATATTTCATGGAATAATATAAAATGTCATGGGTCAATCAATCGTATTTTGCCCTGTTCGCATATGGATGCTAGACTTCAATTGTATTCATTGAGTCGGCTATCTAGTTTTATATATCTGTGGTCAAAACAGGTTCCTACGCTATATAAATAATCTAATAAGGTATGTTATTATTTTTAAAATTTATCTATATGATTAGAATGCCATTATAATATAAATTATAACCACCTTTATGTCGTTCTGTTGCAGCCATGGACTTCCTTGACAGAAACTCGCTGATTAACAGACTTCCGCTTTACATGGTCCAGTTATGGCTGGGTCCGATGATAACTAAGAACGCGGTGGACAAGAAGTCGGTAAGGGACTTCGTCCTCGGTGACCAGTCTACGTTTGATGTGGTGGTGGTTGAGAACTTCTTCCACGAGTGTTTCGTGACGCTTGGCCATAAGTATGGAGTACCTGTGGTGCAGCTGCTGCCGTTTGCCTCCAACCCCAGGGTGTCGCAGTGGCATGGCAACCCGTATGGGTTAGCGTACATGGCTGACTTCGTAGCCGGTTACGTGGCACCGATGACGTTCCCACAGCGTGTGCAGAATGCCGTCGCCGCCTTGTTCAATACGTGGGTTAATAGGTTGCTGTATATGCCTCAACAGCGGGCCATCATGGATGAGCATTTTGCGTACGCAGGCCACGAGGATCGGCCTGACCTTGACATGATGCTCCGGAATGTATCACTTACGTTGGTAAATAGCCATCCTCTGATCGGGCCAGCTGCGCCGTACGTGCCCAGCTATATACAAGTGGCTGGCATGCACATGAAGCCGGCAGGACCACTGCCCATGGTACGTAATACGTAACTTAAACTAGCGGAGCTAAACGTGATTTGCTTATCGTAAATTTATTATGGTACGCATTTTTAAGACGGTGACAACACATGCGAGTATCACGGCTACTAAATATATTTAGTATTTTTTTTTTTTTTCTGAAAGAATTTGTTGTAAAGAAAACATTTATAATACACGTAAATAATAACATTAAGGTTGAATTTTACAATAAATTATCTACTTCCCTTAAGCATATGCTATTTGTGATGGAGGTAGAGAGTTACATTATATAATGATAGACACAAATTTATAGGTACACTATAATGTTAAAATTAAATCTAAGATTGTTACATATAGAAACAAGAAAAAGTATGTGAAATAAATTTAATAATGTTGCATTTTAATCTTTAAACACTTAATAGAGAAAATAACCATAAGTTAATTTGCTTTTTTATTCTTGCAATTTTAAGATTCCCAGATGTAGAGTAAATGAGTTTTAAATAAATGCTAATATTAAAACGTCCGGARTTTCATCAATTTTTCCTACCTATTTTAAATGTTATAGGTAATAGGTTCAAAAATTTCGACAATATCCACATGTAATTTGAAAGTAACTTACCTATCTATGCCAMCAATTTTTAAATTAAAATTTAACGTCTGTTGACTAAGTTTCTTATTACTTGAAGGAAATATGTATTTTGTTAGTTTTAAAATGTTTTGTATAAAGTACGAATACAACTAGCTACTTACATCTAAATATAACTTTCRATTTCATCAAATTCGATGTGGAAAATTAGGTTTCAAATGTTATGTATTCWATGGCAGACTGGTTCAATAATATATATATAATACATTATACCTTACGCAGTTATACCCTACATACTCAGCCTTAATTACAGGATTTTTCGTAATTATTTTATAGGATCTAAAAATAATTTTGGACTCAGCTAAACACGGAGTGATCTACTTTAGTTTGGGTTCGGTGGTCAAATCATCGAAAATGCCTCGAGAAATTGTATCGTTCTTGTTGTCAGAACTGGCCAAGTTGAAGCAAATGGTTCTATGGAAATGGGAAGATGATCAGCTGCCTGACCTACCGAAAAACGTCATGGTCAAAAAATGGTTCCCGCAAAACGACATTTTGGGTATGCGTACAAATAATTCAGAACATAAATCCACTGCTCCTGAATAACATAAACTAATGTGTATAGGTGAGACAATTGATTATAGAAAGTGATGAGACTCTCTATATCATAAATTAGGTTTTGTGATTTTAGGATGGTTTGTATGATATAGGTACCCATACGTATAAATAGGCTCTTATCAAACTTATTGTTGAGTGTTATATTAAACGACAATATTACACATGATTGAGAATAATTATATTAAATATATGATTATATAATATGAATGAGAATGACTTAGGACTTATAGGAGTCACCCACTGATAACAACTCCTTTAAAAACTATAGTACTTACTACTTATATAGCGATACCTTTGGGAATCGTAATTAGTATCATGATGTGTAATTTTCACCACCGTAAAAAGTAGTCGAAAATAGCAAAGGTAATTTATTTACGGCAAAATAAGAATAAATGATTTGCACCATTTGTGACTAAAGGTAGCCAAAAATAGTGTTTGTAATTAGCACCAACATTAGTATCTATTTGTTAAATTATTTCATCGATATACCTGCCCTCGTTAACGCACTTATGGTGAACAAGATACTTCAGTTACCTACATTGTTACGACAACTTAAGTTAATATTATTATTTATTTTAATATCTATCTCTCTCTCTCTCTCTCTCTCTCTATATATATATATATATATCCAGCAATATAATTTAAAATAATAAAAATCATAAATATTATTGAACACAGAAAATAGAAAATAGCCAATAGCTTTTCAATATTATATAGAATTAAATTATTAGGTACTGATGAATATAATTGTAAAATAGGTACCAATAG